ACACTTAGCTTATATTTAGAATTAACTTGAATTAAACTAAAGTGACTACTTAAATTCACACATGATCGAAAAGACTTTCTCTCCTACCATTATCATTGATTCCACTCCCAGCAGGCACTCCATCACTATGGCTGCCAACGACAATTGTTTTTGTTGGATCACCTGTCAGTGTATCCGCACATATATTGCCAACCGATATTGCGCTAACATAAGCAACATTAATAATCACACTTGTATTTATCGATGTATTTTGTGCAGCATTTGCAAGAGCCAGACCAACTGGATAAGATAAAAAGAGAGCTGGATAGCTCGTGTTCGGTGGAACAGCACCTGTGATCAGAGCATAACGGTCACAATCTGTACCATCATTATAAATCATTAAACCAACAACGCCACTTTTAGCTGCTAAGTTAGCCATATCGACGAAATTACAACCGCGTTTTACAAGAGCTACAGTACCACTGGCTGCTTGCCAATTATCTTCGGTACAACCAATATCGGGAATGACTGCTGCTCGAACTCCTGTTCCAAAATTAGCCGAACCAGAGTTCGTCATTAGTGTAAAGTTGGTCTCATACGTGTAATTGATCTGTTGATTATTCATATGGGATATTAATATAGGATTACTTGCTAATCGACTAGTACTGGCATCAAAATATTGCTTTTTTAATAATAAATTAGTGTTCTGAGTTAAATATGTTGTTATATAATCCAGCGTGTTATTGAATCCTGCCGTGCTAATAGCTCGCGTGCCTCCACCTGAATTAGCAATTCTTTGTAATTGATCTAAGTGTGTTGACATTTGATCGATGGTAATTGAATCAGCAAGTGTTCTCGGTCTGGTTGTTGAATGGATTTCTTCTGGATATCTTCGAACAACAATTCCTAACGTAGCAGCTGTCAAAGCAATGGCGGTTAGGGTAAATAGTAACATAATTCCAAACAGAATCAAAAATTTTTTGGATTGAAGGAAAACCGTATTCCTGTTATTCTGATTGTCAATAGCATCGCCATTTGAGACTTTATTTTGTTGTATCATCATTATCTTCACTCTTTATCTAGTGGAATATCGACTAGAAGAAGATAATCCGCTCGACAAGTTAAGCATGTCTATAGCTGGTATCCTTTGGTCTAACAGGTGGTGAAAAGAAAATGGGTTACTTTTACCTTTTGTTTTTCCAGTACCGAATCTGAGGAGTTCATTCGAAACTGGTAAGATAAACAATTGTCTGTTCTATAAAACTTTGTATACCCTACGATGCTTCGTTATTCGACAAAATAACGCTGTGCGACGGCAAACAAGAAGCATAAGCGCGTTGGAAGAAACAGATTACAGTTTTTTTCCTCTCAATCTAATTAATTGATTATTTAATGATGTTTTCATCAACTATCCAATCACTGTGGGTAAAAGAAGATACTTATTTAATTATTTTTCATGAGAATATTTAAATTTCCGTAGCACTTCACCACCAATAATAGATGATCCCAAAATATTTGATCGCTTTTGTGACCAAGTTTTTGTATTTAACCATAAGTTAGATAATGATAAATATTTGCCACCAGCGACTAACTTGTTTTATGCGCTAACATTCTTATAGTTTTTATGACGTATGGATAGGTTGTTTAGTCTGAAAGATAGCTCTCAGTGCGACGAACATTTCTGTACGCACACTCTTTTCTCTCAGTTCCCACATTAATTCGAAAAGGATTATCCAAAAGCTTAGAAGTCACTAAAATTTGACTACAGCTATGCTTCTTACTTGCTTTAATCAAACAGCCAGTGAATATGGAATATGAATATTGAACTGTAAAAATTCTCTAACTTTTGAGTCTAGAATAGAGCCTTTATAAATCATTTTAGATTAAAAGGTACTGACATACTATAGTTAAATATAAAATGTACCTCTGTGAAAAGAGATTAGTCACCTCTTCGTAAATTGCTGATATGGTATAGTTAGAAATAGTTTGTAAGGTAAAGCTCAATATCACCAATCACATAATTGATATTACCACCATTACTATGCACAGTAGAGCAATTCCTACCTTACTGCTGGCGATTACAATTCATCGTGTTATTTCAAGTTAACGGTGTGAAAAGTATGATCTTTGTTTTCTTCGTTGTTGACACATAAATTTTAAAGCCCTTAGACTTTTATTGTATTTGCACTCAACAGACAGGTGAATTTGATAAACGAACAACTGCTTTCATCACTTATATTATTTTATTCTTCAAGGACCCCAGAAATACTATCTCTAATTAAAAGACCATAATAAATAATGGTCTACGACCTTTTTTTATCTCATTTTTTTTATGTTCAGGATGGTTTTAAATCTATTATGCCACACTGTGTCTTTCATCTATCTTTCAGTGCAATCCTTGAAAAAGCTATAAGGACTTGTCACTTGCCTTTTATCTTCGAGATAGTTGATACATAGTCATTGACTTCTATTTTGTAATCGACACATCTTTCCGACCAGCGTCATCGTCGTTCGAATGTTATAATTGTAGTGGAATTGGGCATTATTCATATCAATCAACAAGATAAATTGTTTTAGTGGTATACAACCTGTGACAACAACGTGTAGAACAGCAAATAACGGCAGTCTACATGTTAATGGAATGGTTGGGTTACAAATTTTAATCAACAATACTAGAACAACAATTAACGCATATGTCATTGATGACCTGTGTACTGATGTATTATTGGGTAGCGATTATTGCGATAAATACCACGTAGATATTAGTTCTTACTTTAAAAATTTAACAATTAGATCACAACGCTAGCAAACGAGAATCAAGTTTGAAGAACACCTGAATAATCGCCAAATATATTATATTAAAACGGTGCAAGATGTAACGATACCACTATTATCAGCAAAAGTTATACAAGCAACAACAACAGTACCTGAAGTGACGACGGCTATTTTTACACCATCATCAAGAGTGATGAACAAACAACATGTTGTGGTCCCACATGCATTATTAATGGTCAACCACAACATAACAACAATATCATTATTAAATGCACCCAAATAACCTAAAAGAATAGTTAAAGGCACGAATCTAGGGACAATCGAACAACAAGAAGATCACAGGTGTTGTTAAGTCAGTCCATGCAGACAATCAATCAAAAACCAACACCAAGTCATTATTATCAACCAGTCCACAATAGTGTTTCGTCAGTAACCTCCGGTGGTGTTCAGCAAAAATCGACATCATCAGTAAACTCAACCATTGCTCAACTAGTTTCTCATTTACTAATACAACAAAGACAACAATTGGAGCCTATCTTACTGGAACATTTGGCCGTGTTTGATACGTCAAAAATAACAACAACGTCGACACATTACAATTCTTTGTGTTGTTTCAAGTTAACGGTGTGAAAAGTATGATCTTTGTTTTCTTCGTTGTTGACACATAAATTTTAAAGCCCTTTGACTATTATTGTAAACAAGGATCGATCCGTTTTATGTTGCTTTGATGGTGCCTTCAAATGACAATCGCCTAAAACACATAAGGATGATACCGGCGTTATGCAGGAAAAAGATTTTATTTACTAACATCATAAAAATCACGTTTTAACTCATTACAATAATAGCCCATTAACAGATACTTGAATAGAACCAGCTTATAACTTGTTAATTTCATCCATGCAATCCACTTTTTAACAACCTTTTTAAAACATTGATACTTTCAACAGGATTGTTAGTGATTCCCGAAATTTCATCAAACAAGCCATGCGGTCGACTAGCCCAACCCCCTAAATAGAGAGCGCAGAACAATAAGAACACAACAAAACCAGAAAAACAGGATCAACAGGAAAAATCGATTCAGTGAAGGTATCATTCTTCGAGGATATCATCATTTCAACGACACTTCTCCAAATCGACTTATTTGTCACAGTCTTACGAGTAACCATGCTTTACTTTTTGCCTCTTAGACGATTATGTAGTTGATGCTTATACTTGGAAAAATCGTGGTACAGTTCCGCGGCCAAAACATGGAAATTTATTTAAAAAAACATGGTTTACTTGTTTTAATTATGATAGAGTGGTCGACAAAAGATTTGTTAAGCACATATGTTTCAAATTCAAATAAATACGATGTAATTGTTTTATAGATTGGTAAGGTGTCTGCTATTCTACTTCGAAATATTAACCCAGGAATCCGTTTTTCAGGAAATAAAACCATTGCCAGATGACAAAAAGTCACTCTTGCCTATATTTTAATTTTCGCAGCCAAAAAACTGAACTGGTTTGATGTCAAGGCATTGCTGGATCAATAAAATAAAAAAGTCGCATCCAGTTATGCAGAGTCGCTTTCCCAAGACCAATAATGCTTTCTAATTTTAATCGTGATGTTGATGGTCATTATCATTGAATGTATCCTAATACATTTGATAGAAATCTAAGAAAAAAATCCTAATGTGCGAAAGGAAGCGATGGAGATGTAGAAAACCACAAGTTGTAGAATGTGTGTTAAGCGCGGTTTTCTGTTCAACAAAGAATGTTTTCTCCTTTTTTTGAATGAATTGTATGCACATATACTCAAATCACTCAAACAGCGCGTAAAATATTATATTCGGGAAGAGCACAATTTTTTTCCTCGAGAAAGTGAAAACAGAATTATCAGATTCGCTTTTGTTCAAAAGTTATACAACTTTCAAAATCCCACTTCAGTAAGTTCAGAGACGTGCTGCTCGACTATACTATTATTTTTAACCTTAGAATTATGAGGTGGTATGGTCTAATGGTAATAACCCTGTGAAAAATGTAGGACTAATGAATTGTACTGTTTTGCTTGGTCTGAGTCGTAGTAAAAACAAATTGTAACGTTTGACGCCCCATCATGAATTATTGAGGCCTCAATTAATCTGAGCGGTAGAACGACCGATTATTACTTTCTTGGTTCGTTAAACGATTATGGAATCAGTGAGCTGGTTTTCTTGCCTGCCCTGCTCCACAGCCAGCAGATTTTGCTAATTATCATCGCGTTATTGAGCTTTTTGTTTATCTTTCGGGAACCCGTTTTGAGTTTTTTATATTATGATGCAACCCGTATTCTTAAGTTATATTTAAAAGACTTGAATTAGTTTTATTTGCACGCACTGTGTGTATTATATGGATAATATTTAATAGTTTACATTTTCATAAAAGTTTTTATTTCCTCTTATAATCGGTCGTACGGGCTGAATAATTTCTGTAGTACTGGACAAAACAGTATATAAGAAACACGCTACATCACATAAAGTAACGAAGAAAAGAGATAATCATAAAAAAACAGTAAGACGAAGCGGGTATCTTCACAGCAAAAACAGGACGGAAGAAAAGAAAGGACTGCATCGTAACAAAGAAAGAAAAGAGAAAATAGTAAATATAACTGTATATGTACATAAGCAAATCCGAATATGTGTCTTTTATCGAAAAAAAAATTTTGCTAAAATTTTACTTTGCGTGCATCTTACAAAATCTATTTGGACTTTCTCAATTCCTGCTGCTACACAATAACTTTGGTATTTACATAGTATTTCGTTATCTAAAAACTAACGAACAGTAAAGATTAAAATTGCGATAGAAAGAACCGACTTTAATTTTTCTTGTATTTGATCTTTCTCATTGCTTAAGAACGTTACGCTTTCTTGCTATTAGAATTGCATAGTGTAACAACTTTGTCGCTATCTAATTCATCCTCACTGGAAAGACGACATTGTTCCATCATTTTTTTGTTTACCCAACGCATCAAAATCGAAAAAAGACAATTTCGAGTACAGCGAGTGTGTCTTAGTCTGCTTAATAAGTTTAAATGATAATGAGCTTAAAACTATATGGTGGAGAGATAAAGATTCGGGCTACAAAATTTTGAACTAATTGTCTCTCAAAGAATAAATTAGCAATCAATTGTTCATTAAAATTCCATGTATTTGAATGGAGCGT